TTTTACCAGGGTCCTCCCCTCATTATCCACTCACGCGAGAGGTTCTCCGCTCTGCAACACCAGAGAAGGAGAAACAGCCGCTGCTACCACTTCAACTTTAGGATAAAATACCAGAGTCCTCGACTCCAACTATTTATAAAGCACTTCACTGACACAAACCTGCCACCAAAGTGCTTCATAGACACAGGTAAAAACACATTAAACCAATAAACACAAGCAAAAAAAAAAAAACAACATAAAAATGAGAACGAAGACACTGTCACCCCACAGAGTTACAGCCAATTCATAAAAACGGGCCTTCAGCTTAGATTTTAAAACTGCTACAGAAGAGGCCTGCCGAATATGTAGAGGAAGCTCATTCCAGAGTTTTGGAGCTGCCACTGAAAATGCTCTCTCGCATCTTCAGCCGTGACCTGGGGACCACGAGCAAGGACAGGTCTTCTGAACAGAGTACCTGAGAGGGAACATACAACTGCAGCATGTCGGCCAACTATGCTGGAGCCAAACCATTCAGTGCTTTAAAAACAAATAGAAGTTTTGGTACCACTTTACAATAAGGCTCCCTTATAAATGGCTAATAAATGGTTTATAAATGTCTTATTAATCAATCTATAATGCCTTATATATGACTAATAAACATTTATTATGCATTAATTAAGGGTGAAAAAGACACTAAACTTACTAGTTTCTTGCCAAATAGTGAACCAAATCTGTTGACTTATGTACTTTATCTAGACTTCATATATTAAACATTTCAAACTAAGAAACTACCTTTTAAGCACTATTAGCATTTGTAAACAAGGTTTTGGGCAACTAATAATGTACCTTATAACTGCATTATAAATACTTACAATGATTAAAGGGAGGCGTATTGTAAAGTGTAAAATATGTCTTTATTCATTAATAGTTAATAAACATTTATAATTACAAAAGGGAGCCTTATTGTAAAGTGTAAAACATGTCTTTATTTATTAATGATTAATAAACATTTATAAATGCAAACAGGAGCCTTATTGTAAAGTGTAAAATATGTCTTTATTTATTAATAGTTAATAAACATTTATAATTACAAAAGGGAGCCTTATTGTAAAGTATAAAACATATCAGTGTTTATTAATGACTCTTAAACATTTTTAAATGTAAAATGAAACTTTTTTAGTATGAAACTAGTTAACATTTATTTATAACCAGTAAACTTTTTGATGCTAGGGGCCTTACTATGAAAAGTATAACAAGCTGCCTTATAACATTAGACAATACTCTATCTTAACATGTGCAGTTGTTTTGGTTACACTTAGAACACACAAAACCTTCTAAACAAAAATGACAAGAAAAATCTTTGTTGTGTGGAAACTCAACACATAACTGAACAGATCGTTAAAAAATGACCAGTTTCACACACATCTGTTCTATAGCTAAATATGCTGAAACAGAACAAGTCAGATAACTGAGTAGGCTTTCAGACAGACTTGCCTCTTCGAATTGGAAGCAAAGTACCATCAGCCTTCATGCTTTCTATTTTGTTTTTCACTTCATCATTGCTTTGAATCTCTTCCTCACATCGTTTAGCAAAATGGAGTACCGTCTCTCCACTGGGCTTGTTGGAGATCAGCTCCTGGTAAACAAGAGGAGCTGCCATAGCGAGCTCAGCAACTGCTGCCGTGGACACAACTGTGTTTCTGTCAATCCCATGCTTCTGAAAAGCTTTGGACAAGGTCTTCATCTTTGGAAATGTCTTGAGGAGGGACTTGTATCTCTGCACAATCTCACTTGGTGTTCGGACTGAGAATCAAATTAAAACAAAGAAAACTGTTAGAAACAAATGCTCATGGCACACAATACAATCTGTTACTATAATTTACACACACATGCATATACGTGTGTGTGTGTATGCATTTCTAAAAATGCGCATCAGTCCAAACCTTATATTCAAGTTTGGTGTCAAATACAATGTAGTTTGAAGAAAATATTTAAATGGTAATTTTATCTCCAAAGAACATATCTTCTAGCCTGGCCTGCCAGACTAGACTTCTGCTCAGAGTCTGGTAACTCACAGGCAGAGAGGCACATGAGGGGCGGGATTAGCCAGCTCAAAAATGACCAATCAAAAAAAAAAAGGTGGAAATGCCAACTGTACCATGTGACGCTGTAGTTTTTTAGCTGTAGTAAAAAATGGAGCCTGGTAATGGTGCAAACATCTTTCTTTAGAAGAAAGATTTTTAGTGGTTCTTGTTGTGGTTTCAAAGACATGTCCAAGTCATTTACAACAGAGGAAAGAGCCGCGGTGAACTCCGCTTCAGACATAATTGTTTATGAGAAATTGAGCTTCACTGTGTGTGTGACATACGCTGCTCAGTGATGATTGGTTTGGTTAGCATTTTCAGGGGGGGGGGGTTATTTACATAGGAGAGTTACCAGACTCTTTCTCTGTGGAGAATTCAACAGAGGAGGAGTCTGGCAGGCCAGGCTACATATCTTCTGTACAAGTATTTTGCTCACCACGCTGCCGGAACTTTTTTTCCTCCTTCTTGTATTTCTTGGCTTTTGAATGCTTGTTTTTGAATTTGCGCTTTTGCTTCTTTGGGGGTGAAGATGAGGATGAGGATGACCACTCAGATGATGCAGATGAAGATGTGGAAGATGAATCCAAGTTTTCAGAAGGATTGTTGATAAACGTATCATTTAATGGTTCGTCTTTAGGTTGCGCTGCAGAAAAAATGGATGAATTTAGAAATTTTTTTTAACACATATCAGGTAACACAGAGTGAAACAAACATGCAAAGTAGCTGCCAATTTCATTTCATTACACAATGGATGATTTTGTCAGCTTATGTGCTTTGACAGAATGAGAATGATGCACCCTTCTGAGTGAAATAATATACATGTGGCTGGGCAAATCTAATTTTTGTAGACTATAGAATAATAAAACAGTATAATGACTGAGTGTTATTGTCCAATACAACATTAAATGTCAATAATTGGCAGTAATTACCTATTACCGTGGTGTTTAAAGGAGAAAAAGGGGAAAACTAAGTTGCTGGTACTAAGAGATAAAGTGGCACAACTACAAACCATCTAAATGAACACTTTGATGTCGAAATGTGTATTTTAAATTAATTATTAAAGTATGTAAATGAAAATGTATTTATTCGTGAGAGCACAGACAACTGTAAGAAAACAGATAATAAACAGATAATAGGTAATGGCATAATACATGCCAATAATTAATCAATAGGTTTAGATCCAATTAGAACAAGTTATTTTTAAGAGTTAACTGGCATAACACCAAAGAGTAACTATTTTTTTATCAACACAGTGACAATAAGGGATCTTCATGTATATTTATAAATTATCTGATGTTTATCACAATAATATAAAATTAAACAATGTTTATGAAACTAGTTTAGTGTCATACTTGACAGAGATGATAGCTGACTTCGGAGGAAATCCCTCTCTCCTTCCAGTTCTTCAATTCTCATCTTTTGCCACTCCAGTTTCTCCTTAAGAAACGCAACTTCCTTTCTCTCCTTATTAAGAAGCACAGTTGCAGTAGGGGCAAGACCAAAAGAAGTATCTAAAAAAAAATTTAGACACACATTAACAACAGTAGCAGAATCTCTAATCTAAACTAGGCAAACTAAATTACAGCAGAAACAAAAATATCAACTTTAAATGGTAACAATACAAATGTAAAAAAAAAGTTCTGAGACAAACACCTGTTGTAGAGCAGACACTTCCAGAACAAAATAAATTATTCCTCCATGTTACCACACTGGGGTTATTCATAATGATACAAATGTATATACATTTACTATTAAAAATATAAAACTTTGTGAGGTTTCACTTTCGTACTAATTAATAGTACCAGAGATAGATAGGCACTGTAGCAGCCAAATGGTTCATAGTTAGCATTAAAACATTACTCACCATCACGTTTCTCTGTTGACAGCGTTGGTTTAGTGTTAACGTTATCCAGTCGCTGCTTTTTGTTTTTCTTTGAACGCGTGCTGACCGCAGGTGTCGCAGTGGAACAGGAATCTTTCTCTTCAGGTCCATCCATGGCGCTGCCGTAGCTAACTAGCGTCAGTCCGTGTCGGTTTGACTGATGGACCCACCTCAGCTCCGACGCACACCGATGGGAGGGACTTCCGTATTAAGATTCACTGTGATTGGATGTTTGCACTAAACTCATCTCTGTATGGCTAATTTTCGTTTTATTCCCTTTGGCGCGACGGTGGCTAGTTTTCATATGCAACCTAAAAATCCAGCGGGAAACGCTTCATAACTGAGTCCAAGGCACTATAAGAGGTGAGCAAATTGTTTTATTTTTTGTATGCAGGGTTGTTCTTTTAATTATAAGTCAGGTTTTAAATATTACTTTAGCTGATGAAGAAAAATCAGTTTTAAGAATGAAAATGTTTTGTGTAAATGTAGCATGTTTTGTATTAACTTAACTAAATATTCTTGTTCCTGTTGTGTTATCCATTTTTACATTTTTCTTTGAAAATTATCAGCATTTACAAGTTCGCTTGCAGGGAAGAGTAGTCATAAATAATGATAATTAACGTTATATTGATTAAAAACCCATTTATCTTTCTTTTTTGGTCATTCTTAGTAAGTCAACATAATTATAAATTCAGGTTTTTATTTAGCAAGTGTTACTTCCTGTTGAGCTGTGTATTGTAAAAAGAAAAAAAAACAACACAAATAGATTGCAGAGGCAATACAGTTTGTAACTGTATGTGCTGTGTTTTTTAAGTAAGTAAAATAAACTGGAACTAGAAATGTTTATATCTTGATTTTTTTTGTGTGTTTGAATTTTTTGGTCTAATTAATGGTTTTACATTTTTCCTTGACTTTTCAAAGAATGCTTCGAGAATTATACAAATACTTGATCTGTTGCTATATCAGTGACATTTTTTTTTACCTATGACATTCTGAAGATACCAGTATTTCAATGTAATAATATAATTAAATAAATCTATAATTTTTCCTACTAGAATGCCTCTTGGGATGAAGTTGCGCACTCATACAGAGGGGAAACAAACTAAAAAGAAGACTCTGAGGCTGATTAAATGGCTGCAAAAGAAACACCTTCTAAAGAAGAAGCTGAGATGCCCTGTTTGCCACCATAAGATGAAAATGATATCTGTGGTGAAGAAAGACCAATTTATGTGGTATGAATGCATGATAATGTAGAACATTTAACATCACATTCTGATATTAAAGGCAGGGTACGTAAGTTGGAATTGTTAAAATAATTTTGACCATCTGACCTTGTTCTATGAGAAAAAGTGTGATCTTTCATATTTTATTTTTCTCCTAAGTCCCTCCCCTGGCTTTACAGCTAAACTAATAATTTCTGCAAGCCTACCACATTGGCCAATAGCACTGCATTTCAGATGTTCTCTCACTTGACTCGGCTTTCCCTGCGTGTGCACGTTAGGAGGTGTGGCTTTCGGCTCATTCAGGAAGGTCGGGGATAGAGCAACAGCCCTTCAAATTTTAAAAGCAAGACACAGTGCTAACTTTATCTCAATATTTATTTATTTTTTAATATAATTTTGTGATAATGTTTATAGGTTCATTTATTTACCTCACTTTTTGGTTTGTTCTCAGGTGCTGCAAAAGAGCAAGTCATAGAAAAGTCTCCAGAACAATTAGAACTGGCTCCCTCTTTGAGAAATCAAAATCTTCTCTTTTCAGTTGGATGAAGTTCATCTACAGGTAGCCTGTGTGTATAAATGTCAACAGGAATAGCAGTTAATATTAGAGCCTCAGTGAGTTTTGACTGGTTTTCATTTCTGTCGCAGATTTTCACAAGGGCTCAGGCTCAGGCAGATAGATATGGTTGATGATGATGTGGCTGGCAGCTCCAAAACATTAAGTGCCATGGCAAAGCGTATTCGACAAGTCTGCATCAGTGCAATGGAAAGACACGGAGTAAATAAAGGGCACTGTCTTGGTGGTCGCAAAGAATTTGTGGTTATGGATGAAAGCTGTCTCCGTCATCAGCGAAAGGTTGTAAACTCTCAGACCACTTTGTTATTATCAGTCCAGATCTGAACATGTCCCCTAAACATATAAGTTTTAAGTTTTTACCATTACATTTAAGAATCAATATAGTAAAACTGTTACAACCAAACAAAAACAATCTGTTAATAAACATATTATTATATCAATTACTATGATGATTTGAATCACTTGAGTCAGATTTTAACTAAATTAAAGTTTGTAAAAGTAGACAATTAATCCATAAAGGAAATGAATGACAGAAAACAGCTTTTTTATTCAACATCTTTGTCATGCTGTTAATAAAGTTAAAATACAATTTACTTTAATAACAGCAATACAATTAAAATGTTAAGATGCAAACTGCATTTAAGAATATACTTTGTAAATATTCTGTTTAACCTTAATCTTTTTATTTTCAGTATGCACGTGGACGCTTCGGAAATGCTTGGAAAAGAAAGAAATGGGTCTTTGGACTGATGGGAGTGAAAGACAAAAGGCGAAGGCTCGTGTTAAAACTTGTAGAGAAACGAACAAGGCGTCACCTTGTTCCTCTGATCAGACAGCATGTTAAGTCGGGTAGTGCCATTATCAGTGATGAGTGGAGAGCCTACAAGAATGTCTTGACAAACATGGGGTACAAACATTACACAGTAAATCACAGCAGGTGGTTTGTTGATCCTCACTCGGGCAGTCATACACAACATATTGAAAGAGCTTGGATGACAATTAAAGGACATATTCGCAGACTAAGAGGAAATCGTACAGAGATGTTGTTGGAGGAACATCTTAAAGTTCTCGAATGGTCATCTTGGCTTGGTTCAAAACATCCTGATGGACCACTGGGACGCTTATTCAAGGACATATGGAAATCATTCCCAGTTTAACCTGAATCTCTTCTACAACAGTTTTTTTTAGGGAGGGGGGTATTTGGTGTGTTTGATGAGTTTGGATGTTAAATGTGCTACACTTACAATACATGACCATTTTTGACAGTAGTTAACATAGTTTGTACAAATATTTTAAGCATTTAGTGTAACTCTGAAGTTTAACAAATTTAAACATTTAAGACTAATTTTTGGTATTTATAAATGTTTATTAGTCATTAATAAATAAAGATATGTTTTACACTTTACAATAAGGCTCCAGTTTGTATTTACAAATGTTTATTAATCATTAATAAATAAAAACATGTTTTGCACTTTATAATAAGGCTCCCTTTTGTATTTATAAATGTTTATTAATCATTAATAAATAAAGACATGTTTTATACTTTACAAGGCTCTAGTTTGTATTTATAAATGTTTATTAATCATTAATAAATAAAGACATGTTTTACACTTTACAATAAGGCTCCAGTTTGTATTTATAAATGTTTATTAATCATTAATAATCATTAATAAATAAAGACATGTTTTACACTTTATAATAAGGCTCCAGTTTGTATTTATAAATGTTAATTAATCATTAATAAATAAAGACATGTTTTACACTTTACAATAGCGCTCCCTTTAATCATTGTAAGTATTTATAATGCAGTTATAAGGTACATTAATTATTTGCCCAAAACTTTGTTTACAAATGCTAATAGTGCTTAAAAGATAGGTCCTTAGTTTGAAATGTTTAATATATGAAGTCTAGATAAAGTACATAAGTCAACAGATTTGGTTCACTATTTGGCAAAAAACTAGTAGGTTTAGTCTCTTTCTCACCCTTAATTAATGCATAATAAACATTAATTAGTCATATATAAGGCATTATAGATTGATTAATAATACATTTATAAACCATTTATTAGCCATTTATAAGGGAGCCTTATTGTAAAGTGGTACCGAAGTTTTAAACGAATCCTAAGAGAGACAGGTAGCCAACGTAGCATTGGTGTAGCATGTTCAAACCTTCATCTGCTGTCCAAAAATCCCCGGCAGCATTCTGGACAAAGCTCTGACTCACTCAGAATAAGACAGAGGTACAGACAAAAAAAAGACGTTTGGACCTCAGAAAACAGCGACTGCTGTTTAGCGCTCTCTCGTTTAACGTGGCAATGCAGGTTCCGGTATTAGGTGATGCGGCATAGGGTTGACCGTGACCATATTTGTGTTTAAAAGTTAGCTTGTTTTGCTAATCCGGTAAAACAGCTTTAATCTCAACTTTTGTTGTTTTCTTCCATCAGCCCTAATCCTCCATCATTGTCTTGTAAGTGCATAGACGGTCGCCAGACTAGATGTAAAGGTGAATATGGACAGAAGTCCTACATTCTTGTATATTTTGGACCTCACTACACAGAGATGATATGTTCTATGCAGCAAAAGCCAAGAATGAGGCTGCTCTTCAATCTGGACGCCACATTTGACCATGTCCCTCCCTCAGCACCCCGCTTTTACTTTGGCTGGACTAAATCAGAGCTCCTCCAAAATAAAACAAAACCCCTTTTTGAATCCCTTAACCACACTCGATCCAGCTGAAGGGCTCTTCAGCAGTGTGTGCTGAATCGGAGTAAAAAAAAAATTCTGCCAATTTTCTAATTATTATTATTGCTATTCAAATTATTATTATTGTTATTCTCTCAGTGAGAGTAATATCATCAGGAAGGCCACTTGGTTATGGGTAAATCTTAAACACGTATGAATAATCAGAAACATAAAAAAGGGTTTGATTCAGCTGTCAGCCGGCCAAAGGAAACACATACCTCTAGTGGTGAATCACAGAGAAACCTCCGGAACTGGGAAGGGAAGCAAAGGGAGGGAAAACAGAGAAAAATGGTTAAATCTTTGGCTCACAAATTCTTTTGAATAGGCATAAATGAAAACCATACACAAGTCCTCTGCTGTCCTATATAGTTCATCTCTCCCATTTTCTCCTGTCTTAAGCGTCACACTAGCCTGGCCTGCCAGACTCTTCCTCGGTTTAATTCTGCACAGAGAAAGGGTCTGGGAACTCTCCTATTCAAATAGCCCCACCCCCTGAGAATTCTAACCGAGCCAATCAGCGCTAAGCAGCGTACGTCACACACCACAACGCCGACTTTGTCATAAACATGGCGACTGATGCGGAGTTCGCTGCAGCTCTTTCCTCTGTTCTAAATGACTTGAAAGTCTTTAAAACCACAACAAGTAGAAGCGCTAAAAGCGTTTCTTCTAAAAGAATAAAAGATGTTTGTGCCATCGTCAGACGCCACTTTTGACTACAGCTAAAAAACTACAACGTCGCGCGGTACAGTCGTCATTTCCGTTTTTGAGCAGCCTAGTCCCGCCCCTCAAGCGCCTCTGCCTGTGAGTTACCAGACTCTCTCTGTGCAGAATTAAACAGAGGACGAGTCTGGCAGGCCTCCATTCACCGACGGCAACAAGAGGAACACTTGATTTACACAAATGAAAACATTTAGCTTATCAACCAAGGCCTGTGGTCTAGGGAGGACACTATGGCAGCTACCCAGCCAGAGTCTAAAGTTGATAGGGAGCCTAAGTCCCGCCCATCTACTTCCGGACCATGGGTCCCAGAAGAACGAAAAAATGAATTCAAGTCATGGGGCTAAAGATGCTATTTTCTAATTCCGCTTGTTATGTGCCATGGATTTCAGATATGATGTCCGTGAATTTTAAAGATACATTTTGATACCAAAAAGTGCTTATTTTCGAACCGGGGGAAATGTTATTTTAGGTTTTGTTTGAAAATAAGTCCAGGACTACAAATGTGCATTACCAAAGGGACATGGAACCAGACACGGAGAAAAGCAGAGGGAAAATGACTAATTTCAGCCAACTTCATTTCCTTCCTTCAGGAGGAGACAACCACCATAAATCTGGCCATGTGGTAAGTAGCAGCTACGCCAGAGGAGAGGAGATTCTGTGGTGTCGTCATATTTGCAATGCGCCGATGTCTGATTTGTAGTTGTGCAACCTTTACAAGCCAATAAATATCATAGTATGTGACAGGCGTGGTGGAAACGCACATCACAACTTTTCATTCAAATAGAAGTACAACATATGTGTGATTCAAGGCATAAGACAAAGAGGATTAGAAAATAGCTCTTTTAGCTTCGCTCACTAATTTCTTCATTCTTCTGTGGACCCACGAGTCAACCGGAAAAGGAGGAGACTTGGGCTCTCTATCCCTCATCACATTAAAAAAAATCAATTACCAAAGAACTGAGTGTGGAAAATAAATCTGACTTGTCCGAAGCATTCCCTGAACTACTTTAAGGCAGCAGAGTTGAGAACGGTGCGTTTCAAATGTTTAGCCCTGCAGCGCAGAACGACACAAAGGGCACGCTTTATTTTATGGTTATAAGCTGGTTAAAAACTCAGGATCTGAAAGAATTGTGTGAGAAAACCCAAGTCATCTCCATGAGTGTAGCTAACAGACCCTCTATCAGGATCTCATGAATCAATGTGGAGGAATTGTAGCTGATTCTTTACTTATTACTTATATATTACATTGCTTCAGTTTTTAGAGATTTGTGTTGCTCTCTCAAGCTCCCACCAATGAATTTCCATCAGGTTGCGGTCTGGACTTGAATAATCCTTCTCAGACTCAAATTTGCTTGGATAGACTTGCTGGACAGGTGCATCTCTAAGGTGTCCTCATTGGAATTCTGCTCACACACACCTATATGCTCCAGACCAGCAAACAGCCAAGAGAGGTGTTTACATTAAAGTAGTCCTAGAATTCAAAACCACGTTTAGCTTGTTGTTGAGGTTGAATATAGGAAGCATGGGATGCCAAATGTAGCGTACCACAAAGTCTGGGCCGTCTCCAACCTGCTTTCCAATGTAAATCAGTCATTTTGTGATGACCACAGAGAAACTGTTCTGAGAAAAGCTGATGTAACACGTCATACGCTTGCATGTCCCACCCCGCTTCAACTTTAGCTACACATAAACATTGGTGGAGGTGCTGCTAACCGCAGAACAAAGCTTGCCCAAGCTACTGCTAAAGCTAGCCTGAGCTACTGCTAACGTCCTTCTGGTACGAGAGGAAAACAACAAACAAGAATGTTGGACCACACAAGTAGGTAAAGTAGTAAGTAAAATTCTTACTAGCAAACCAGATTCTGGCCAGACTAATGAGTGGAAAATCCCTGGGTAGTTTGAAAATATGGGAATTCTTTTTTCTTCCCAGGAGGCCACATTTTTCCCATTTTTAGTGGCCACTGCTGTCAGCATTAATGACTTGCTTGTATTGTATAGTTGGCTTGTCTTTAACTAGCATGAATTATTGCTCTCTTAACCGTGGTTAGTCTCCTTGTATGAATTGGTTGGGTTTTGTATTTTGTGCCATGTTCACTTGTTAAGGGACTGCAGACACAGTGAAATATTGGCCAAGTCCAAGACAATACATCTGCCTCTTTTTTGTACAGTTGAGGGTAGATTTGAATAACTTTTGAACTGATCGTGTTCTTACTCAAAACGTAAAGTCCTTGAACTGAGGAAGATTACACCAACAACTGTTTGTATATTAAAGAGACAATGTGCATTTTTTTCCTGGCGATAAGGGGCAGTACATACCTAAATCTTTGCAAGCAGGTCGTTTTTGTGTTTGAGTAAAAGTTGACCAACGGACGGCTATTAGGGTAAAAAATTAACCAAGGACACAGTTATAGATTTTAGACGTTCCACACCGTCTCTCTCCGGCAGTAGCATAATACATGGCAATGTGGTTGAGGTGGTGAATAAATACAAATACCTAGGTTCTTGGATAGACAAGTTGCGGTTCAACACATATACAGCCTCCATTAGCCTGTATTCGTGTCTGAAGAAGGCTAAATGTAATTTAGGTCAGCCTCTCCACGCGCTACACTCAGAGTTTCAGCTCATGCCCTCAGGGCGTCGTTTTTGTGCACCCTCTCTGAAAACAAATAGTTTTCCTAACTCTTTTATACCTTCTGTTATTGGCCTGTTAAACTTTAAAGCAGGTGTGACCAAGAAATTTGTACCCCGAGTATGAACCCGTTGTGAGGGTTACTCATCACTAGGGCCTTTATGTTTAATGTAATGTTGGGACAGACAGACAGACAGACAGACAGACAGACAGACAGACAGACAGATACTGTAGATAGATCGATGATAGATAAGACAGACAGAGACAGACAGACGGACAGAATTTTTTCTTGTTTTTATATTTTTATGGTTTTTATGATATGCTACAAGTAAATTGCCCTTTGGGATCAATAAAAATTTTCTGAATCTGAAGTTCCTCGGAGCACTACCCCCAGTAAAATTACAAGCACATCAGACTCCCTTTCATCACCGGCAACAAGTGATGAGTGGTTATTCAATTCAATTCAATTCAATTCAAAATACTTTATTAATCCCAGAGGGAAACTGATTGCTGTAGTAGATCAGAATAATAATAATAATAATAATCAAGTCATCAAAGAGTTGTTGTATATTACAATGGCTGTTGGCAGGAAGGATCTCCAGTAGCGGTCAGTGTTGCAGCCAAACTGAAGAAGCCTCTGACTGAAGACACTCTTCCGTTGTCGGACAGTCTTGTGAAGAGAATGCTCAGGGTTGTCCATCATTTTCTTGATTCTCTGGAGAATCCTTCTTTGCATTATCTCCTCCAGCGGTTCCACAGTCGTCCCCAGAACAGAACCGGCCTTTTTATTAGGCTGTTGAGCCTTTTCAGGTCCCTGCTTCTGATGCTGCTACCCCAACAGACGACGGCTGAAGAGATTACACTCTCAACAACAGACTTGTAGAAGATCTGCAGCATCTTGCTACAGACATTGAAGGACCTAAGCGTCCTCAAGAAGAGCAGTCTGCTGTGTCCCTTCTTGTAAACAGCTTCACTGTTCTTTCTCCAGTCCAGTCTGTTGTCCAGGTGAACTCCAAGGTATTTGTATTCCTCAACCACCTCCACTTCTTCTCCCACGATGGAAACAGTGTTTGACTCCACCCTGTTTCTTCTGAAGTCTTAAAATCATCTCCTTTGTTTTGTTCACGTTCAAGGTCAGATGATTGTTTCCACACCATGCCACAAAGCGCTCCACCAGCTCTCTGTACTCAGCTTCCTGTCCATCTCTGATACACCCGACAACTGCAGAGTCATCTGAGTATTTCTGTAGATGACAGGTCTCTGATTTGTACTGGAAGTCTGAGGTGTACAGGGTGAAAAGGAATGGTGAGAGTACAGTCCCCTGTGGTGCTCCAATGTTACTGATCACCTGGTTTGATGTGCAGTTCTTCAGCCTCACAAACTGTGGTCTGTTTGTCGGGTAGTCTTTAATCCAGGCGATAGTTGAGACCTCCACCTGTGTCTTCTGGAGTTTCTGGCAAAGTACCAATGTAACAAAGCTGCTTTATTCTTCAACAAGTGGGCATCATTTAATACATTTTCAACATGTCGATGGATATTTCCAGAGAATAACAGTAGAAATTACACATTTTCTCTTTAAGAGTTAGAAACACTCTGGAACTTGATGTAATAAAAATAGGTGGGCTTTATGTGCAGCGAGACACAAAACCACAAGTTAAAAACCAGTTCCTGCACTGGTGCAAACGGCTCTTAATGAGTAGTGTTGAGAACAATGACATGAAAGGAATATAATGATTTAGTTTGATTTTACATTCAACACTCACTGAAGCCACAACGAAGACGAGTTGGAGATCAAAAGCTCAAGCAAAGTACAGTCTAAATGAATGATTTAAAACTGTGGTCCCAAATGTTTTTAGTGTCTGCCCCACAAAACTAGAATAGAAAACTAGTTGGTTCCACTAA